TTGTGTGAGTAAAACTATAATTAAAATGTTATCAAAGAATTTTAATTGAGAATAACAGTTGATGAGATGGAAATAATTATCTTATAAAACAATCTATAAATGCATAATATACAAAATTTATTAACAGAATATTCATAATGTTCTCCACTTTACATGACTATATAAAAAAAAATTAAATGAACATAAAAGTATTTAAAAAAACTTGTGTTGTGACAAAATAATTCAATTGTAAATTGAACAATGATTTTGTGTGAAAAAACGAACAATTATACGTACATTAATTCATAACATATAATATTGTCTACTAGTACTACGCGAATCATATATTTAATTTATAAATGATTGTTCGTGCTATCATCATGCCCAAATAATAGAGAATTCAAACATGATTTCTTGATAATTTGATATGGCTGCCCGTCATTGTGGTGGGGGCTTCTCTTCATCCCAAACATAGACGCGTGTCAGATACTGATTTTGGCACTCTAATTAATCGTGCAAATTAATTAATATAAACTAGAAACTAGCAGGTACCCATCTAATGCACGGAATAAAGATATTGATGAGCCAAAATAATCGACTCAAAGAGGTTGCCGGTCGAACCGCACGGAATTCAACCCAAATCGGTCCTACCCGGTTTACGAGCGAGTTTTGGATTAGCCAGAGCGTTTTGTGCAAGCACCTTGCCGAGAAGTGAGAATCACTCACAAGGCATGTCAAACTCACGTTTTCCGGTAAGACAAAATCCAGAATTCAAATATGAAGATTTAGCCTAGCTGGTTTACCCAGTAGACCAAGGTCAATGTAATCGAGGAAGAGATGCGGGAGGACCCAGGGCCAAAGCAAGTTGGGTTGGGGTATAGAGCCGTAAGCGCGGTGGGGGTGACAGAGGTTGTGCTCGTACGGTTCATAGTTGGGTATGATATTATCGTGGATTGTTGGGAACGTCCTCTATATTCGAAATATGCCTTTCTAGGAGGATTCACGCCATTCTTATTGGTTCCTCCTCAAGCCTGAAAGTGCCGGATTTCCATCTATTCCCCAGTAGGCTGAGTTGGCCATGAATGAACCATTCGATCCTTATGGCTTGACTTCCCTACCGAGCACCAGAAAAATAGCCATTCTCGACACCTTTGATTGGAACGAATGCAGCACTGACGCTCTTTATTTTGTAGGGAACAGAGTAACCAAGCCTCCTGATCCTATAGATTAGATTATAAGGGTGAGGGCCACGAGACGGTGGAGCGACGTCTAGCTTCCAAGCATGGGATATCCAGGAGGGGATGACTTTCTTAGCAACGGTTGCTCGCGTGATTTGGCCTCGAGAAATTCGATCATTGAGGAAAAAGGGGATGATACATATTTATCTGTCCTAGGATGCGGCGCGATGTTTGGTCGGGTCAAGCCTCATCTCGATTGCGTGAGATTTCAGATGTCTCAATCGCCTTCGTCTTCAAGAACCGGGTCGACCTGCAAAGCACCGGGTCCCGACGTAGACACTGTCACGCTCAAGTCAGAAAACGAAGATTTTGATCGTGTATCTTACGTAATCTTCAGAGCTTAGAGATAGAAAATTAACCTGAAATCCTTATTTTAATGGCTTCTTCCCCAAGAAAAAGTGTTTCCTCAATAACCAAGGAGTCTCGTTCTCCCAAATCACTGTGTGGATATATACAAACTTGCTTAAATATCTTTTAAGATTATTCCTAGACCTTCATGGATATTTTTAACCCATACCATGTATCGCATAAATGGGCTTTAAGCTTCCTTAGACCGGCCCTATCTGAGCTAACCACTCAGCTGGTTCACCGAGTCATTTTTTGTGCTACATCAGATATTAAATGAGTTATTTTCACAAGTTCTGTTCGTTTAAGTCTAAAAAATAATAGGGTTATCAACTATTTTCCACCTCTTTTAATCATTAAGTCTAAATAACAATATTGTTATAATTTGTTTTCCATATTTTTTAATCAGCGTTTTTTTTAGCCATAACATTAAATATGAGCATGTTAGGACTAGCTATAAATATTTTCTACCTATATTTTCTATAAATATTTTTACAAATATTCTACCTATATTTTCAATATTCTACCTATATTTTCTATAAATATTTTTAGATAAAAAGTTAATATTTGTGAAAAAAATTAATATTATGGTTATAACTTAAAATATGTTGTAATATTTATTTTAAACCAAAATATTATCAACATGAATCACGAAAAATTAATCTTGTAATTTATTATAATAGATATCAATGAAATTATTGCAGATATTAATAAAATTATTTAAGGAAACAATATTTTTGATCATATCTGATTTAATCTTATTTGAAAATGTGTATATGGAAATAATTAATGCATATATTTAAAAAGTTTCCAAGAAAAGCATGCATTAAATACTTCTAAAAATTTTTACTACTATTTTTAGTAAATGATAATTCTTATGTTCTGGATTCCTATTAAGGCAAACAAATGTAACATGCAATCATATCTAAATTTCTTGCATTAACTTATTTAATTTAATGAGTTTTTTATTGTACCTAACCATGCCAACCAGTTTAAATTGATGCCCAATATTAAAATAAATATATATATATATATATACCTAACCAACTAGTCCAAAAATTTAAGGGGACCAATCATTTCCATATATAGTTTGTAATTCCATCTCCATTTGTTGATTAGTAATTTGTTGTTTAAAAAGTACAAAGGTAAAAAGTAGTGAAAATATCTATCCATTGTTAGGTGCTTTTCTTTAATTATCTACGCTATCAAATTTGTTTATTGTAAAATTTTGCAACACCACTTTCATAATGATAAACCAAATGCCTACCTAATTAGTATCATATCACATACAATCATTTAATCTAAAGATTATATATTTTATATTAATAATGACATTTTATCAGAAAAAAAAATAAATGCTATTAACATCAGGAACATATACATTAAAAATTTCCCTTTCTCTTATTCAACATTTCTAAATATTAGTATTTATGAAGTTACATTATAATATCTATAAATCTATGTAAAATAAGTTTTAAAAAAATAATATATTTTTTATAGAAATAATGAAGAGTATACGAGAATATGAATTTTTCCTTTTTTTTTTGTTCAAAATGAAGAGTTGAGTTATTGAAAATTATTTTGAAATTCATTGTACAATTTACACTATATTGGCAAAAGCTTCACCAAAAATATTGGAAACTATTTGAAAATGATGAATTGAAGAAATTAAATAAAGTTGGATGATCAAGCGATGAAGTGGTGATGATGTACTTGCCTACGTCAACTTAAGAATCTGACATGACTTAACAACACGACAAATGTGGCCTTGTGGGCCGTTATTTTTGTGTGGGTTTTACTCTATTGGGCTTGCTTTACCTTCAACTTTAGTTGGGCCCTTTTTAAGTTTTAATACTAACAAGTTATATTATTACATCGTTAACCCGCAAAGTTCAAATAATTCGGCTTTTATCTCGTCCTTCATGATTAATGTACTTTTTTTTAGAATAATGTTGTTTCTATAATAAAGGGGATTGAATAAGTTACCGTTGAGCGCAACAGAACACATGAAAGCAAAAAATAAACAACACAATAAGGGTTTGTCGGGATGGATCGATTAAGAGAAAGATAGTGTATATATCGATGTTTTTCTCAGAATTGGTTCTCTTATTCTTCTTTTGAGCTTGTTGGGCTGAATTTATACACGAGAAAAGTAGAAAGTAATCATGATAATTGGGTCAACATGCAAAAACTCTTCTTTTGATGATAGGATCGGGTGGATGGTCGCTTTAACAGTTTGCTTTGTCAGTTCTCATACATACGGAAGAGTGAACGACAATTTTCTAGGAGATGGGATAAGGACAGATCAGCACCAGTGCTGATGTGGATCCTTGACAGCAAAGTCTCATGGGCTTTCCATAGTTCAGGCCCATTTCTTAACGGGTTTGGTTTCTATGTTTCTCGGCATAATGGGCCTGCCGAAGTAAATGTGATTTTTATGTACAACAAATGTCAATATAATGTACCTAAAATGAACTTCTCCGTAAGATAATTATATCTGACCACATAAGGTTGATCAAGTAGGGGTGAAATTGGAAAATCCAAGAATGGATGGTAACTGGTGAGTCGTGAGCACAAAATTGGGCCCATGAAGCACTAGCAACGGATCAGCTTATTGATTTCTCCAAACTCCATAAACCAAATCACACGTGGCCATGCATACACTATTGTATAGTTCATACTCTTCTTCTTGCTTCCAATTTTCAGTCATTGATATGGCTTAACTGGTATCTTTCAACCTTTTGTAAGAGTCGTGTACTAGTTAAACTGTGTTTGGTAAGCATATAAGTTAGCTTATAGTTTATTTAATTAACTTATAAGTGTTCTTTATTCAAATAAGTTTGGTTTGGTAGGACAAGTTTTTTAAAAAATTCAAACTTTATCTCATAAGTTTCTTTAGGTAGCTTTTCAAATAAGTCAATTGATTTTTTTATTTCAACTAGCTTATTAACTAATTTTATCACACATTTATCATATAAGCTAAATTTTTCAGCCATAAGTCATAAGCTATCAGCTATAAGCTCAAAATTTAATTAAAAACTATCAGCTCGTTAACGCTCGAATTGCTTAAAAAGATAATTTTTATGCATTTTTCTATAGTGTGACTCGATAATATCCACAAACAAAGTGTGCAATATGCAATGCAATATGCAAAGTATTGACACAAAATTACATTATCTAACACACATATTATATATATACATACATACCGATTTGCTAGGATGACGAAAGCACGTTTAAAATTCCAAAAGTTTGACTATAGTACAATAATTGTTCGATTAGTAATTTTCTTTTGTTGGAAAAAGAATGAAGAAGATCAAGAAGAAGAAGATAGTTGGTTGACTTTGTTGAATTATTGGCACCGACCAAAAGATAATCCATTTGTGTAGTCGGAGGCATCATAAGTGAGTTTCCCATTTTCTCACTCGAAAGAGAAGAATGGGCTGCAGGTGTGGGAGATCACCTGGTCCACAGGTACAGGGTATGAATCTACTCTGTCCAGTGAAATCATTCAACCTCAAATAATTCAAGAATATTCTAAAGATGGGAAAAACTGTTGATCTTTGCTCTAAACTGTTGTTCATTATTCCATTAATCTTCTTGCTCAACATGAGGCATAAAATGTGGGAAAACTTTTTGATTTGCACATCGCGATTTAATTGTTTCTAGTCAATAATTAATTAAAGGATTTGCCTATCAATGACATTATACTATAAATCGGTACGTCTTTTGTTAGTCCGACATATTTTTTCTTCACATATGCATACTTTCACTATAAAATGTCACTTTAAAAATAATATAAATATAACATTTGATGTGTATATATATTTTTGTACACATAATATGATATAGTATTATTTGTCAATCTGCCTAACCATTGAGCCATATCGCATAATAATTTGACTATTATAAATTGTGATCATTAATAAACATAAAAACATTATAAGTAATAATGGAAAATGACACTTGAATCTCAACCACATTAAATGAGATATGAAATTGAGTGTTTGTAAAATACAATATGTATGATGCATATATTGGTCCCTCCCACTATACCATAGCTTATAATCCTAACTTACATTAATTTGCTCTTATAAGCCACATGTATATATTGAAGTTTATATAATTTTTAATTATCCCAAGCAAACATGCATGAAATTTAGATACCTTTAGATCCACAAATAAGATGTGAATTGAGGCAAAGCCACTAAGTAGATAGATTGTAGCTAAGAGAAGAGGATTGCTCAAAATCACCAAGATAATCCATGCAAGTTAGTATGATCAGAAAATGATCAAAATTGGTACGCAAACTTATAAAATTGATTTTTTTTTAATGAATTTGACAAGTTAATATATCAATTTCGATAACAGCTAATTAAAATAATGTATTTTTTTAACACAGACCAATTTATCAGACCAAAAATGGAGATGACGACCACACATGTCGTACCTTCCCTTCATAGATTCAATTTATTTATGAGTTTCGTTTAATAAAAAAAATCATGCATGTAAAAAGGAACATAAAAGAAAAAGTAAAAAATGGTGAGTACCAATTTTCTTGATCGAACTTGTAGATCAATTGGTATTGCTCACTATTTGTAAAAATATTATTGATAGTTGATATATAATTTAGGCCTTATACACCGCTCACTTGTATATATGCATGTATATAAAAAAAATTCTATTGAGGACATTCATGAATTGATGTAATCACACATGTTTTAAATATATTTAGGTCAATATACGTATCAATCAGCATTTATAAATAATTGTAAATTACTCAATAAATCGTGTTACAAACTAACTTCATAGCAAAATAATTGTATTATTTTTCATAAGATAAATCAAGAATAGCAAAATAATTGTATTATTTTTCATAAGATAAATCAAGAATATCCATTTAACATGGTCTGCCTCCCAATCAAGTCACATATATATATTCCTTGTTTAAATACATTCCAACTTATAAAAATCCAAGAAATGCATGTGGTTTTTTGGGAAGTGATTGGTCTCTTTCATTTTTTGGGAAGTGATTGGTCTTTTTCAGACTGAAAATATTCCTTATTGCTCTTATTGCTCTCTAGCATTTCACACTTTGGAACTTGGGAAAGATAATGTGGCTTTCAACATCTTCCTTCTTCTTCTAGTATTTTTGCTTTTGTCCATTTTTTTCCAACCTATTATAATTATATAATAATAATTATAAAAATATAAATCTTAAACAATTCAACTAGAAACTAATAACAAATATAAACTTAGTATATTTCCAATTATATAAAAAAAATATTTAAATAAAAGTGGATTTGCATGTGAAATTGTGAATGGTTGTGTAATTTTTCCTTTCCTTACAATTTGAGTAGATATTTTCAAATGGATCTTAGCCTTAGGTACAAAGTAGAATATTTTGGTCAATAGTGAAGTGTGCTCTGTGAATAATACAGAGCCCAGCCCAAGTCCCTTGGATATCGTCCATAAGTTATCAGAAAATGTTCCTAAGCCTAATTTACAACAAACTACGTACGACTCAGGCCCACACACAAAATTTCATCTTTATGTGTTGTCTTTCCCAGATATAAGACATTTGAAGCCCATTAGCCCATCTACTTACTAAGTCATCTATAATCTATGACGAAGAGAAAATTACACTATTTATCTTCAAATTATATTATATAATTTTATTTTATTCTATACTTACGTAGATTTTTTATTCTAATTGCAAATATATTAATATTTACAGTTTATATTTAGTTTATGTTTGATTTATTTTGATCATTAATTTTTAAAATGCATTATCTTTTAGCTTATAACTAGTTTATGAATGGAATATATATAAAAGATCGTATTTTTGCAAAAATTGTCGTAAACATATAAAATAGTATTCAACAAACACCACCTACTATCAAGAAAAACATATCAATCCAAACAAACATCAAAGATTAAAATCTACAAGTCGAGTCGATCAATTAAAAAAAAACAAAAAAAGACAATGAAATTTGTGTATATTTCAGGTTATTCATATATTTGTCGTTTGGCGAAAGACTGACTCATGAGTCATGACTAGTTTAAACTTGTAATGTAACATATTTGATGTCTGAAACAAATGCTTTNAAAGGGACTAATTTAATAGCATAACAATGAATATGAGCAAATTATAACAAACACAAGTGGATGCTTCATTAACAAATGCGTATATTAAAAATCTTTCCCTCCTAACACGAAATGAAAAAGCACACAAAAAGCAACGCTTATTTCTTAGGAATTTTTCAAAGGAAAAGCACGTCTTCTTACCAAACTAACATCAACCTTTTGATGTTAAATAGTAATTTATTTGGTTGGCTGCTACCTATAGGCTATAACCTATCTTATACAACATGGAAGCCATAAAGTTTTCCCACTTAATTTTCTTTTTAAACAACTCGTTTGGATGATTAGCGGATTAATGTAAAACCCGGGATGAACCTCCACTAACAAACTTGTTTGGTAAAAAGCTATATATAATTATTATTATTTTTTTCCGGAAAAAGAGCTATATATAATTATTTCTTAGCCAAAAATGTTAATTTGAAGAAAAAAAATTCAAACATAGAAAATTCATAAAATAACACGGCAAAATAAGACTTTCAATATAGTTATACAGACTACTATTTTTTAAACACTTATTTACAAACTACTAAAATATTTTCACTAATCGAATTTGCTAATATGATTACTATTGTAAATATTAATTTGTGGATATTACCTAAATATAGGCTTTGTAGGTATAGGCCAGTAGCCCATTAGGTCTTTAGTCATGTACATTGTATTCCCTTATATATAGGGCTCATGTGAATGAATGAGATGAGGGTTTTAACGGCGTATCTCTTCCCTCTTATCCTCTTCTACTCTGTCTTTGTCTATCTTACACTCGATCTTACATATTGACAATCTGTGTTACAACACGGTATCAGCACGAGTACTCTACCATCTAAGTGGACGGCGACGACATAAGACGAACGAGCAATCAATGTAAAAATCAAGAATTGATGTATGCCCTATAAAAGAATCGTGTCTTTTCTGTCAAGGTAACATTAAGATCTATTCAACATCAATAATGATCTATTAATTTCATCAATTTATTTATATTTATTTATCTACTAAAGAATAAATTGATGATTTTTGTCTATTCAACATCAGTAATGATCTATTAATTTCATCAATTTATTTATATTTATTTATCTACTAAGAATAAATTGATGATTTTTGTATGAGTTATGTGAATAAATAATTTGATGTGTATTTACGATATTGAATATATTTAATTAATAGTGTATTTCCTCTGCATAGCATTTTTTGGGCTATATGATTCATTATGAATCGTTCATAATTAATTAATGATTATGCAATGTTGGATTTGATATATCTGATATGCGCAATAATTAAATAATTGACATGTACATTATGAATTGTACAATATCAAAGCAGTACAATAGTGATTCATTCATTATGATTTATTTTCGATACATTATTGACCATTATGATTTTTTTTATTTTTTATTTTTTTGTCTAAACGATAGGTTGCTCATTTCATTATAAACAAAATACAGAGTTCAGATACAACAGAAAATACAAACAAATGGAATAGTACAGTCGCGCAAGGTGGGAGACCTCAAATGAGGTCTAAAAAGCCAAATGCTATCTAAGGCAGCACTAGGCTGAAATCCATAGTTAGACAAACAATGATCTAATGAAGAGATTAAAAAACTGTCAAAGACCTAGTTTAATCCTTCACCAGCTTTGGAGTGCCTGTTTTTGAAGCTGCGCAATATTCTTGCCATTCTCTAATGGCCAACTGGATGAGATTAAGCTCCGGGAGGTGAAGTCCTTTGAAGACTCATAGGTTGCGGGACTTCCACAACCACCACAAAATATAGGTTGATAATTGGATGCGGCTCTCATCAATCTCTTTATGTCCTATCTCACAAATTGTCCACCACCAATCAGAGAAAGATGTCTTAGGTTGTGCAAAACAGTCCCAACTTATTGGTGCTATACTCCAAGACTTTTGTGCTTTACTGCATTGCCACATTATATGCATGATTGTTTCCTCTGCTTCTCCACAAATGCGGCAGATGGGATAACCAGGGACACCTTTTTTGATTAAGTTTTGGTTGACTGGCAGGGTCCCTGTGAAGCACTTCCATAGGAAGTGCTTAATTTTTCCTTTTATGTTAAGGTTCCAAGTTCTGTTCCTCACCTTCATGTCTTTCATTCTTGAGCAGCTGCCTTCTGGAGAGCTAACCTGGGCAATTTTATCTAAGATTAGTTTAGAGTTGGCTGAAGAAACTGTAAACAGACCTTTGCTTGATCCCAGCCATTGCCAACTATCCTCCAAGTGTGGGTCAATGTGTTGGATTTCCAGAATTGCCTCTACTATCTCAGTATAAAAAAGATGATAGATTAGTTCTGTGTTCCAGGTTTTCCCATCTGCAAGCAGCAGCTCTTTGACTAAAGTGCAGTTAGCCTGAACTCCATCTTTGTATTTGACTCTTTGTGTACCAAGAGATTTTATCCAGGGATATTCTAGAACTGAGGTGGTGCTTCCACTGGACAGTTTCACCTGAATCAGCTGATCAAACTTGGGCTTCACTTCCATCCATGAATTCCATAGCCATGATCCCCCATTTTTCTTTTTAGCTTCACAGAAATCAGTGGAAGGAAAGTATCTGTCCTTGAGGACCCTGCACACTAGAAGATCAGGTTTAGTTATCAATTTCCATAATTGTTTCATAATCATTGCCTCATTGAAGAGCTTGATATCTTGAAAACCTAGACCCCCCATCTTCTTAGGCAAGGCTATTTTGTGCCAGCTCATCCAATGGATACCTTTTGCTTGATCACCACCTTTACACCACCAAAAGTGAGCACATAATCCAGCAATTTTCTTACAAACTGAAATAGGAAGTTTAAAGCACCCCATTACATAGATTGGTAAGGCATTGAGTACAGCTTTTATCACTACCTCTTTGCCTGCGGTTGATAGCAACTTACTCTTCCAACTGTTGATCCTGCTTGCCATTGCTTCAATGACAAAGACAAAGGCTTGGGTTTTAGACTTACCAATTCCAAGGGGCAGCCCTAGGTATTTGGTGGAGCTGTGCTCTGCAATGTTGTTGAGAATGTGGCATACACTTCTTCTGAGCTGTTGGGGTATATTTTTGCTAAAGAATATTGTGGACTTTGACCAGTTCACCTTCTGCCCTGAGATAGATTGATACTTGGCAAGGATATCCATTAATTGATAAGCTTGGTTAGTGTCAGCCTTACAAAAGACAAGAGTGTCGTCAGCAAACAAAAGATGGGTTAAGGTTGGCCAATTTTTCGAGATTTTCAATCCTCTGATTCCCCCTAACCCATTCTCATTCAGAATAAGAGTAGAAAAATTTTTTGCCACCATAATAAATAGATAGGGGGAGATGGGGTCCCCTTGTCTAATGCCACGAGAAGTCTTGACCCAACCACAGACAGAGCCATTTATTTTGAAAGAGAAAGTGGGAGAGGTAATGCATCCCATGATCCATTTAATAAAATTTGAGTGAAAACCCATTCTGGCCATTACTAACCCCACACATTCCCATTCAATTCTGCGTATATGTATATATTGTCTCATTGACCATATATATGATTCATGCTAGTTATTTTTTGGCTAATTGAATATTGTTAAATATTTATATTGGTCCCAATTCAAATAAATTTTCTTCCATCCAATCGATTTACATGATTTATTGTTATGGTCTGACATTGATCATGACCCGAATTATTTGTCCACAATTTGGGAAATTGCGTATAGGCTTGAGCAATTCATGCTTTGAGATTCAATATAAATGGCACCCATGTGTTATTGGCACTAGTAGAAAAAACACATTCTAGGGGTCACTTTTTATATTGGGTGTAACATACCCGATGTAGAAAGTAGGACGGTGACATTTTTGTAATAAAATTATTGTTATGTATATGTGGTTCTAGTAACCCCATATAGAAACCCAAGGCCCATTAAAATTAACATAGGGTCATTTTCCACCACATATTGAATATAAATTATCTATATGTAGTTAAACACTCACCACATATAAAAACTCAATAAATCAAATATATCACAAATCAAAATTACACAAATTAATTCACTAGGGCAAACATAATTTCTACTAATATGACTATTCACTTCCCGCTCAGCCTCCACCTTTGCGCGCCGTCCGCCGTGAAGTTGCAGACCCCGCCGCTTCCGTCCGCCTTGAAGTTCCAGTCGCCGCGTCCGTTGTTCCAGCCCCGCCTCTGCGCGCCGTGACCAAAGCTTCAGTCTGCCGCGAAGTTCCAAACCCTGCTTCCGTCCACCTTGAATTTTCAACCGCCGCCTCCGTCTTTTCAGCCCCACCTCCGCGCGCCGTGAACACGTTCGGTTCCAGCCATCGCTTCCGTCCGTCAGTGAAGTTTCACCCCCCATTTCAGTCCGGCGTGAAGTTACAGTCCCCGCCTCTGTTGAACACACCATGTCTTTCTTTCCGCCTCCGCCACCGGCACCGCCGACACAGAGGCCTCTGCCGTAAGTTGCCCTACTTCTCAATTCTATGCCTATGTTGAATTCTTTCAGAATAGTTATTGTTAATTTTTTTTTTTTTTTTAGATTATGTAATTGAATTGAGTGAACAAAGTACATGGCAAAGTTTGCTGAATTAAACGTTTTTTCTTTTTTCTCCCCCTTTGTTTCCCAACTGATTCAACAATTGCACTGTTTTGTCTTTTTTTAGGGTTTCTGGAAAATAGCATAGTTAATAATTGTTCTTTGAATGAATAATTTTATAGTTATTGGTTATCTGCATTATAATATTCTGTCTACATGTGCATTCTTCTTCTAGGACCTTAATGCTAGTTTTGAAATTTGAGTCTAAAAAATGCTATATTGGCTTATGGTGAAAGTGTTGGGATTGATGCATTTGGATTTGGGAAAGAGAGGTTATAAGGATTTTAAATGACTCCATTGTAGATAGTTTTGAGATCAACCTAATTGACTCCATAGTTTCCCTCTACTTAGATCATTATTCATAGCAAAATAAATCCAGCTATTGTATTCTTTCAAAGAGACTTCAAGCTCAGTCACAAACTCCTTTAATCGATGGCTATAATTTGAATATTGCTTGAGGTCATGGTGAACTCCTGTGTTCTGTCCTTTATTTTTAATCATCTAAGAATGGAATCTACGGTCTCCATGAGTTTGATGCCTTAGTTTGAGACCGATTGATAATTGTGGGAGTGAAAATCTCAATCTTTAGAAGGTGTTTGTTAGAATAGAGTTAGAAGTCCTATCTTTTTTTAATTTGCATGTATGCTTATTCTGTTCTAGACTTGACATTTTGTTATGTGCTGAAAAATCATTCAGATGTTGGGAATGCAGATAAATTTTTTTCAGGTGTTTTGATTTTTAGTTCCAATGTGTCAAAATATAAGCTCTTATTTTGCTTTTCTTTTCTTTTACTTTCGTTTTCCCCTCAGGTATAGCTTGTTTCACCATTGTTGATAAGCAGGTTAGTATTCTCACCATAGTAACACCTACTTGGACTATGTTAAAATGTTGTCCTTTTTTCCCCCTTTCTTTTCTTTTCGAAGCTATATTGTATTTGGAACTTCCGCAAATACCACTTTCTGGACTAGATTCCATAGTCGGACGACTTGTGGTTATCCATGTTGATCCCGATGATCCTGGACGAGGTGACTTTATGTGTTTTATGTATTTCCCAAGATAATTAAACTAGATTTTAACAGCTAGCTATAAGTTTAATATAACTTTAACATTTGCTTAAGCAGTACACTTGATAAACAGCATTTCTGATATGGTGGTGCTGGTAGATAATTAATCAACCGTTAATAAACGATGAATAGTTCAAACTGGTTTAGTGCTTATCGTTTTTGTTTTAGTTTGCTGTAATTACTAAACAATGCATCTGTATCTCTGAATGTTGGAATATAATTATTTGAAAAATGTGATTGTGTATGAAAAATCGGTAAGTCTTGTGTTAAGCCGTCCTAATTCCAGTTTTGACAACTTCTCATACCTTCATTAGAAAATGTCATACTTTAAAAATGTTCATCAACAGAATTATGAAAAAGTATGATGTTTGATGGTATAAGTATAAATTTTTATTTATAGAGTATGGCGGGTCGACCCGCCTAATGGTTAAGCCGCCTCACACAAGAATTTGTAATGAAAAATAATACCTCCTGGAGTTATCTCACAACTTGAATTTTGAAAATCACTTGAAATTTGTTCTACCATCTAATGACTGCATCTTTTTGTTCAGGTGGACATGAACTGAGCAAATCCACTGGAAACGCGGGTGGAAGAATTGCTAGTGGTAAGGAAAAATAATTGTTCAATCTATATTAAAATGCATATCGATGCAAGAAAAATTTGGTCTACAAATGTCATTTTTTTAAAGTACTGCTGCTACTTCACATTGATGAACTTACAAATGATTATATTAGCCAATTTTATAATTTTGTCGGAACTAGTGTTTTTCGCCATTAATAGATAGTTTATAATTAAGTCAGTAACTTCAATTTTAAGATATTACTGTGGAATTCACTAAGATTGACCATAAAAAAGGTTCGTAACCATCGACTAACTACTTACGTTTTTTTTTTTTATAATTTTATGCAGGTATAATTGGTTTTCGTGACCGAGTAAAATCTACATTTGTGTGGATTTTATTGTCTTAGTAACCGGTTTGTGGGCAGACATGTTCGCATTTTGTTATCTTATAGTAAGCATTATGTTCTTTTAGTCTTGATTTATTGTTATTTATGGTTTTTTATTTAGGTATTTGATTTGGAAGAAGCATAGAAGAAATTGATGATATACAGAGACGGTGGACCAAGTATTTTCTCGATATCATCTCATTGGCAAAGTAGTAGACTATATAGGCTTTTGTTTGGAATATTTGGTTTATGTTGAACTATTTGAGTTTTCTAGTATTGATAGCTTTTTGGGAAATGTAAAACTACATTGGTATTATTGATAATGAAGTCATTTTAGTAAATTTCTTTTATTTTTATCTATTTATAGTTGTATTGATGGTACATTTGGTTNAAAAAAAAAAAAAAAAAAAAAATGCCCATTTGTCTACTTTTTACAATCTTACATCTTTTATATCGGTTTAAAAACAACACATAAAATCTGACTTTCTATATCGGGTTCGATTCCAACCCATATAAAAAGATACTTTTTATATGGGGTGATTCATTCACCCGATATAGAAAACACATTTTCTATATCGGGTATTCTATAATGCGGCTTTCCAGATGTCTCTTCTAGATGGGGTGATTCATTCACCTGATATAAAAAGTCTACTTCCTATATGTGGTATCGCCCGATATAAAAAGTTGACACTTATTATATGGGCTGATACTATATCGAAGCTGAAACCGATATAAAAAGCCATTTTCAACCGATATAAAAAGCGTTTTTTCCACTAGTGTGGGATTCAGATAATCGTGGCCCAATTTACTTAATGTGTTGAATTTTCATTATATGGGTTCAAGTTTATCAAGTAAACTAGTTTTTGGGTTTTTATGTTTATTTAAAGACTTGATTGTCGGTATTGTCATGCTTGACAAGATGATTTATTTCTTTTTAGATTGTAAATACGTCTGATATCACCAAAAGAGAAAGAATGACAAAAAATCCACAATATTTATGATAATCTTTATAATATGGTTGGATGAGAAGATATGATTGTGCAATTATGAAACTGATGGAGTATTATTTAAAAAATATATATCTATCCAAATGTACAAAATTTAATTTAATACTAGTAGTCCCTGAAGGACATTAATATTAAATATTGATGGATATAATAATTAGAACAATGTACCAGTTGTCTATAAGATGCCAATCAATATTTCATTTATCGATAGCTTGTAAGTTGACAATGAATTTCTTGTACAGTCCCTGAAAGATCTTCTATAAATTAACAATAATGTTTTTTCATATACTCCCCGAAAGATCAACACCGATGAAAGTATATCCCATAATTCACAATAAGGTTTTGATATACTCCCTGAATAATCAACACCGATACAAGTATCAAAATAAAAAAGTGATTACATCGTGAGTAAGTCTTGATGACTAATTTTGAATTAAGATGCTATCGGATATTTTATGAATTGTTATGAACAATTTGTATTCCTGAAGTAATACATGAGAATAATGAAATCCAACCAATTCAATACTCATGGACACAATATTTTAAGAATAGTGATATAAAAGTAGTTCATTGAGATTGTATTAGTGCCAGAAGCACATGTGCAAAAGTATAATTTTTTCACATGAGATATATGATAGAAAATTATTTATCTTCTATAAGACTATATATTTCCTTGATTTAATTGTCCTTATTTGTATGTGAGCATCTCTTGTTTGATATGTATCATATCATTGTTCACATTACTTGTTAAGATTTGAAAGTTAAGATTTACAAGTGGTAGCGTATGTAAGATATGTCTAGCAGACATTATCCTCTAGATAAGGATTGTTTTCGATAATGAATGAGGAAAAATATTATATATCTTATGTAATGAAATCTCTCATACTTCATTGTTATACTCCTGAAGAGTTACAAAATAAAAATGCCCACATATATTGTTAGTTTGTCCAGGCATCTGATTACGCATGCAGCATATGTGGATTGATTTTAACATGTGAATTGTGTGTGTTGTTTGAAATATATATGGTGAAGCTATCAAAAAATGCAATTACCACATGAATTTAATTTGGAAATTATAGTTGCATATTTGTTTCGTTGTTTATCTTGAACATTGAACTTTAGTCTAATTGACTAATGAACCAATAAATGGTATGTAACATGTATAGTTATGTTCTAATTCTGTCATGAGTTCAAAGCAAATATCCTGTTGAATTTTATACCTATAGATTTGAGTTTTCCTAAAGGATTAATGTATCACTAGTGAATTTGAATACCTTATTGACCTAGATTTGGTTATCCTTGAAGAATTATCCTGTTGACCAGTATAATAATTGTATAAAAATTATCTAGCAAGTATCTTTGAAAGATTGATATAGAAAATAATCTCGTTGATTTTTGGATAAATTTATGATATTTTAATTTTAGATTAGCTCTGCATATTCTTGATGAAGTGATGTAACCAGAATGTTACAAAGATTGGATCAATATACAACTATTCTGAAATTATGTTTGCTTGTATATTTGATAAGATGCATACCATTGACTTATATTATTGATAGCTACAATAATAAATTTATATGTAGTGCCCGAAGTACATAATATTGTTGATAGCTACAATAAAAGGCTAAGAATAAAAGTTCAATTGTAGTGCCTGAAGCATATAGTGTTCACTTAGAAATGAATTATTATACTTCGATGCCCAACTTATATCTATGATAATTAGCATGAGCAGTTGGATCATATTGGACAATTATTTATGACAATTTCCCCCTAAAATGCGTGGAGAATCGAACATTTCCCATCTGCAATTCATTATTATTATTTTATTATGCACCATTTTATATCACCACCAATTCGTACCTTTCTGGGCCAATATTACAAACTAGGTATGGTATGATTTTTATACTCCGTCGAATTTTTAAAACCTAGAGGCCATTATATGGGATCAATTTATTATTTGGTACGTTTTTTGCATAACACATAAAGAAGATTTCACGGCATTAGGGGGAGATATGAGCATAAGTTTATTAATGCCGTGAAATATTAATGTTTTCATTATTTGAAACTATGCAATAAAAATTGAACTTGAAGTTCATATTATATTTCTGCCAAGAGAAATCTATAGTAATAATGGAGTGACCAATTTGTACCACAAAGTAAGTAAATTCCCTAGGGAATGATTGACTCCTTAATGCTTGAAGCATAAGGTGATATAATTAATATCATGTATGAAAGTCCGCGGAAAATGTATATTTAAGAATTAACACTCCTTTATAAGAAACTCCTAAAGAGTTGGTCCAGTACATCTTGCACGTACATCAAACCATTATAGTACTGGAAATGCGGAACGACCAAAATTAGATGTTACGGGAAATGATTATAAATATGGATAGCAAATGGTTGAGAGAAAAATATAAATTGAATATCATAGTTGTCGACAACATACTTGCCTATGTGATATCTTAAATATCTCAAATAATGATCCAGATCAAAAGAATAAAAGTGCTAGAAGCACTTAGGTTGATTGAGATAGAAAGAAAATTGAGGCAGAGCTTTCACTCGCTACACGATATATCCCAAGGGGATAGCATATCCCAAAAGGATAATGAATATTTATATAAAACATGTGATGTGGTGATATGATGTAAATATAGCGAGATTATGCTCATGGGTTTATGCAGAGACCCAAATATTTATTTAGATAAGTTCTCTCATTATCAATGATTCCGCAAGTTAACATTTATGGCAGCAATATTACCATGACTATTGAGTCATATGTGAAAGTCCTGGATGGACTCGAGTACCCGAGATGAACGATAATTAAATAATAAATGTTTAATTATTTGGAGTTGGTAAGATGTGGTACAACCAACTAAATTCTTCCTGAAGAAGTAAAATAAGAAATTCAAGGTAGAACCTTGTATATAATGATAATATACAAAATGATCATCTCGGTCAAATAAATTATGTGGTGAACACTATTTAAAAGATTAAATGAGTTAGCTCATGCTTATAGACAGAGTTAGAATGAAACTCTTGGTAAAATACCAAAGAGTATTATCTCGCCTTGTAGATCGAGCATCTCCTAGAAGGAATATTTTTTACCTAACCAATTTACTTGATTCTC